CCCCAAAACCCCAAAACCCCAAAACCCCGTGATAGTGAAATAATAAAAGAAAAATAATAATTGAATATAGCTATAATAAAATAATAAAAATATAGATTTTGCAATAATTAAAATGGGAATAGAATTGATTTTCATTGTGAACAAAGATAAGCTAAATCAGAGTCTAATGACTTGCTCTCTTTGCTATTTGATATTCGTAAACCCAGTCCTTTGTAAAATATGTCACAATCATTTTTGTTAAATGTGTCTTTAGAAGTATCTCAAAGAGTAAGTTTCTCAATATCAAAAATTTAATTCTAAATTTATTTTTTTCTTTTATTTACCTCATTAAATAGCAATGATAAGAAATGCCCAGTGGATAAGACTATTTTGAAGGCGGATGATATTTTGAAACCAGCTCCTCAGGTATAGCAATAGCTCGAAGAAGTCTAGATTAATTGCCAGCTATGTAGCAATATCTTTAAATTAAAAGAGATTGAAAGTCATGTCAAGAAAGTCCACTTGAGTGGATCTGATGTGAATAGTAATCAAAATAGCTTAAGACAATCAAGATAAATACCAGAAAAGTCCAAAGAAAAGACAATTGGCAGAAGCATAGAAGATACTATCAAAGAGACTCTAGGCACATAAAAATCAGTTACATTTAAAGATTAAAAAAATGTAATGCAAAGTGGTGTTAGTAATATGAGTGGGAATATTTAAAATTTGTCCAATTAATTCTAAGAAAATCCTTATAAAACTGAATAATAGTAAAAATTGAATCAAAGCTTTCAGTCACAGATATAAGCTCAATTGAAGTCTATCTAAGATAATGAACCATTAAGTAGAACAATGAATAATAAGAATAGTTTAGATCTGCGCTACAGCACTCCCAAACCTGACTCTAACAATGTTCTTGGCATTAAACTTGCGTATAACAAGGATAGAGATTCCCCTTTGAAAATTGAGAGAACTGTTCAACATTAGAAGGAGAAATTTTTTGAGAACATAAAGCCCAACATTTACACTGATATGTTGATTTCAACAATTGCTACTCAAAGATAACACTTGAATAATAGTGCTTTGCTAAATATGAAAAGCACCTCCTTATCAAGAAATATGGATTAAACACTCACAAGTGATTAGTTACAATAGAACCAAACTATGAAAGACAACCTAAGTTTACTAAGCTCTATCAAATATGACTCTATTAATGATAAAATCAGCTTCATTGAGAGAAAATAAAAGCGGTCCTAAGAGAAGGAAAAACTAAGAAATACCTCACATTACGTATCTTAATTGAGTTATCATGGAGTTATTCCTGATGACTAATATATTACTTTACCAAGGATAATGTATAATCTTCCAGAAAAGAATCCACATCTAAGTAATCAAAGGGTAGAAGGAGGGAGAGTAAATGTCAGATCCTTTAAGATTCAAAAGTTTTAGAATGATCTATTGAAATCTTAGTTTTAATCAAGTTTAGAACGTGCTGGATTTACCGATAGAAATATGTCTGAGGGTAAATAAACAAACGGGGAAATGAAAGAATCTTAAATGGAATAGAGAAAGTACTAAAACACATACAATCCTCCCAAAATAATAATCAGAGTAAATATCATCAAAATTCCTAATTCATATTTAGGAGCCGTTCAATGAGAGTAAAGGCATAATAGAAGAAAATTAAAGACTTCGAGAGATTATCAGCAATTAGAAGTTAAAAGTTCATAATTTGCAGGATACCATTAGTGGGTAAAACAACAAGATAGAAAAAATGGAGAAAATATGTAAAGAGCTATTCAAAAGTAAGTTTTACTATAATCATGGTTGTAGGGTATAGGCAGTTTGAAATAGACAGTAGACCTGAGTGAATGAACATATAGCTAGAATTAAAGTAATAATGAATCTATTATATTTATGAAAGGAAATAATTTCGGTAATTAATCTTAATTTCATTAAAAGGTCAGATATCAAGACAACCTAGCGGGGTTTTGGGGTTTTGGGGTTTTGGGGTTTTGGGG